CACCCAGCATACAGGACAAGAGAAGTGGTCCTGGGCAGAGTCCATACATACAGAATAAGATCTTATAGTGAGAATTACACCCAGCATACAGGACAAGAGAAGTGGTCCTGGGCAGAGTCCATACATACAGAATAAGATCTTATAGTGAGAATTACACCCAGCATACAGGACAAGAGAAGTGGTCCTGGGCAGAGTCCATACATACAGAATAAGATCTTATAGTGAGAATTACACCCAGCATACAGGACAAGAGAAGTGGTCCTGGGCAGAGTCCATACATACAGAATAAGATCTTATAGTGAGAATTACACCCAGCATACAGGACAAGAGAAGTGGTCCTGGGCAGAGTCCATACATACAGAATAAGATCTTATAGTGAGAATTACACCCAGCATACAGGACAAGAGAAGTGGTCCTGGGCAGAGTCCATACATACAGAATAAGATCTTATAGTGAGAATTACACCCAGCATACAGGACAAGAGAAGTGGTCCTGGGCAGAGTCCATACATACAGAATAAGATCTTATAGTGAGAATTACACCCAGCATACAGGACAAGAGAAGTGGTCCTGGGCAGAGTCCATACATACAGAATAAGATCTTATAGTGAGAATTACACCCAGCATACAGGACAAGAGAAGTGGTCCTGGGCAGAGTCCATACATACAGAATAAGATCTTATAGTGAGAATTACACCCAGCATACAGGACAAGAGAAGTGGTCCTGGGCAGAGTCCATACATACAGAATAAGATCTTATAGTGAGAATTACACCCAGCATACAGGACAAGAGAAGTGGTCCTGGGCAGAGTCCATACATACAGAATAAGATCTTATAGTGAGAATTACACCCAGCATACAGGACAAGAGAAGTGGTCCTGGGCAGAGTCCATACATACAGAATAAGATCTTATAGTGAGAATTACACCCAGCATACAGGACAAGAGAAGTGGTCCTGGGCAGAGTCCATACATACAGAATAAGATCTTATAGTGAGAATTACACCCAGCATACAGGACAAGAGAAGTGGTCCTGGGCAGAGTCCATACATACAGAATAAGATCTTATAGTGAGAATTACACCCAGCATACAGGACAAGAGAAGTGGTCCTGGGCAGAGTCCATACATACAGAATAAGATCTTATAGTGAGAATTACACCCAGCATACAGGACAAGAGAAGTGGTCCTGGGCAGAGTCCATACATACAGAATAAGATCTTATAGTGAGAATTACACCCAGCATACAGGACAAGAGAAGTGGTCCTGGGCAGAGTCCATACATACAGAATAAGATCTTATAGTGAGAATTACACCCAGCATACAGGACAAGAGAAGTGGTCCTGGGCAGAGTCCATACATACAGAATAAGATCTTATAGTGAGAATTACACCCAGCATACAGGACAAGAGAAGTGGTCCTGGGCAGAGTCCATACATACAGAATAAGATCTTATAGTGAGAATTACACCCAGCATACAGGACAAGAGAAGTGGTCCTGGGCAGAGTCCATACATACAGAATAAGATCTTATAGTGAGAATTACACCCAGCATACAGGACAAGAGAAGTGGTCCTGGGCAGAGTCCATACATACAGAATAAGATCTTATAGTGAGAATTACACCCAGCATACAGGACAAGAGAAGTGGTCCTGGGCAGAGTCCATACATACAGAATAAGATCTTATAGTGAGAATTACACCCAGCATACAGGACAAGAGAAGTGGTCCTGGGCAGAGTCCATACATACAGAATAAGATCTTATAGTGAGAATTACACCCAGCATACAGGACAAGAGAAGTGGTCCTGGGCAGAGTCCATACATACAGAATAAGATCTTATAGTGAGAATTACACCCAGCATACAGGACAAGAGAAGTGGTCCTGGGCAGAGTCCATACATACAGAATAAGATCTTATAGTGAGAATTACACCCAGCATACAGGACAAGAGAAGTGGTCCTGGGCAGAGTCCATACATACAGAATAAGATCTTATAGTGAGAATAAACACCCAGCATACAGGACAAGAGAAGAGGTCCTGTGCAGAGTCCATACATACAGAATAAGATCCTATACTGAGAATTACCCCCAGCATACAGGACAAGAGAAGTGGTACTGGGCAGAGTCCATACATACAGAATAAGATCCTATACTGAGAATTACCCCCAGCATACAGGACAAGAGAAGTGGTACTGGGCAGAGTCCATACATACAGAATAAGATCCTATACTGAGAATTACCCCCAGCATACAGGACAAGAGAAGTGGTACTGGGCAGAGTCCATACATACAGAATAAGATCCTATACTGAGAATTACCCCCAGCATACAGGACAAGAGAAGTGGTACTGGGCAGAGTCCATACATACAGAATAAGATCCTATACTGAGAATTACCCCCAGCATACAGGACAAGAGAAGTGGTACTGGGCAGAGTCCATACATACAGAATAAGATCCTATACTGAGAATTACCCCCAGCATACAGGACAAGAGAAGTGGTACTGGGCAGAGTCCATACATACAGAATAAGATCCTATACTGAGAATTACCCCCAGCATACAGGACAAGAGAAGTGGTACTGGGCAGAGTCCATACATACAGAATAAGATCATATACTGAGAATTACACCCAGCATACAGGACAAGATAAGAGGTCCTGTACCGTTAAGGCCCACCTCTGTGCTGCCACATACAGGTGAAACTCGAATAATTAGAATATCGTGCAAAAGTAATTGCAGTAAGTGCTGCAAAAGGGGCCCAAACCAAGTACTGAGTACATATGCATGCTTGTACTTTTCAGAGGTCCGATATTGTTCTATGTACAATCCTTGTTTTATTGATTGCATGTAATAATCTACTTTTTTGAGGTTGTGGATTTGGGGTTCTTGGGGTTTTCATGAGCTGTAAGCCATAATCATCACAATTATGACAAATCACGGCTTGAACTATCTTGCTTTGCATGTAATGAGTCTCTCTCATATATTAGTTTCACCTTTTAAGTTGCATTAGTGAAATAAATGAACTTTGCACGATATTCTAATTATTCGAGTTTCAGCCGTATATGTTTATGAAGTGGTTGCTAATAGTCTGAGTCACTGCACTGGAACAAGCATAGAGATAAGGAATTCTGATGCTCATGTTCGTTCCAAGTGACTTAAAAATCCAGCTGTATTTTTTCTTTTCTTTCTTTTATTTTTTTTCCCCAGTTGTCTTCATGCCTGTCTTGTGGCACGCAGGGTCCTCTTCCTCTTGGCCTCTTCTCCAGCACTGGGTGGTCCTCAGTGATGTATCATGCATAATGTATGTGAGTGCAGGGCACCTTGGTGACATTCTCTCAGGAGGCAGGTCCATAATGCCCTGCACTCACAGGATGTTCTCAGTCTTTTAGTTTCATTGATGCCTGGGCATCAATGACAGGACACATATCGCTCTCATGGTTAGTTTCAGGTCCTTAAGCATGGATGCCAAACATATTCTTTGTTGTACAGATGGCCACTAGAGGCAACAGTCAGTGTATGATATACGATAAAATATGTCAATTAAAAATTTTACAACAATAACTGAAAATGTTCCAATATGTTGCTTTTGTCTGTTTCACAAATTCAGAGAGCCACCAATTTCCTGTTATATTACTTCAGACCAATGATACCTATCTCTGGGGAAACAAAACCTCCCTTTGCAGTGGGTCTACCCCCCTCCCTTCAACGGTTAGCTTCTCATTAATGTGTAGGGGACTGGTGTAAAGCAGTTTTACTTACCCTATCCCCTCTGTCTCGGCAGCCAACACTCACCTCTCTCCCCTACGCTCCAGTTGGTGTACTGTCCCCCAGTGTTCTCCTGTATAATGTAGGACTATGGGCTCTAAATTAGACATATTGACGTCAGCGAGCTGCCAGGGGAGAAGAGGTTGCAGGTGCTGGTCTTGGAGCGAGCGGGAGCAGGGATAAGGTAAGTTAAAGCCCTTTACACCGGTCCCCTGGAATTTAACCCTTGCAGTTTGGGGTAATCTCAACAGGTCACCGGTACACACACAGATTAATTCAATATCTCTTAGATATGTTTATTGAAAATGTCACGGCATGTCATTCCAAGCTTCCAATGACATGCTGTGAAATTTTCAATAAACATATCTAAAAGATATTGAATTCATCTGTGTGTGTGTGTCGGTGACCTGTTGAGACTATTCTGAGCTTTGCACGGCGCCATCCGTGTGATCACCAGAACACCACCGCCATCGGAAGGTTGCAGACCGTAAGGAGTGCGGGTGGTTCTTGGAAACACTTGCAGTTTGGGGGGTAGCCCCATTGCAAGGGGATTTTTTTGTTTCTCCGAAGGTAGGCTTTAAAACATATCCCACGGTCAAATTAACCGTATGTTCAAAATGGATGCCAGAGAAGAAAATCAGAAGAAGAAGAAATTCCCCCTTGCATGACATAAATATATTATAACAGGGGGGAAATACGAGGTAAATCTTTGTTTTAGCTTAACTTTCAAAACAAAAAGAAATGGTGAAGGAAAGGTGTTGACGTGTAAAGCTAAAAAGAGATTTCAGAGATGGTGGCTCGAATAGGCCTCTGGTAGTCGACTTTCCTTCTCTTAAATTGGTTTGGTGGCACTGTGTAGAATGGACCCCCTGGTATACCCGCCTCTGTTTTGACATGACACTTCAAAGGTGCGCTGTAGACACCATCCCTGCCTGTGAGCAGCAGGAAACGCCTTTGGAAGAAAACACACTCAAAGCCACAAATTTGCTCTCCAGCAGTGCAAGGTTCTGACACACGCCACCCACCGGGACTTGACGATTCGAGACAGTATACTTTATTTCACTGCTCTTGCCTTATTCATTCTGGCTCCTGAAGCTTATATGCATGTTTCTTCTTTCTTTTTTTTCTTTTTGGTTTCCGTTTCTTTACTTTTCTACTAGAGAAACTCTATGAACAGATGGTCTGTTGCTTGCTCTGGTCTTGTGGCATTCTCTTTATTTATTTACTTGTTGTGCTTCTCTAGGAAATCCCAGACGCTCTGTGGGCCAGGATCATTCAGGAGCGACTGTCAAAAGTGGACTGCGTGAAACGAGTAAGCAGACTTCAAAGAGCAAAGAAGGGGTGGGGGAGAGGAAATTGGAGAACGCTAGGCATATATTAAAGTGGTCCACTTAGCACTGAAAAAAAAATGTGTGTATTATATGTATATTACATTCAAATGTAAAGTGTTGCATTTAAGCTACGTACCTGCTCAGTGGCTCCATTTCCATCTTGGCATTCATTTTCTGCAAAGGGTTGCCCAACTTGTTATAACGCTTTAGCTAATTGGCCCTAAATATAAACCTGAGAACGGTCAATCCAGCATGTTCCATGGTTCGAGCGTAGTATCTGTCTGTGTCCACTACTTCTACACATTAAACAGAAAGGGAGATTGTACTGAACCATGTGATGAGACACCTCAGTCACCACAAGATGCCTTGTACGTAGCCCAGTAACTCTGTCCCTGGGAACTGGATCTTATAAAACTAAGACTAAAGTGCAGTAAAAAACAAAAGGTAACTTTTGCGATTCTGGTAATGTATATTAACTAATAGTCTAAGGGGGTTATTCACTAAGCTGCCGAAGGCAGCCAGTGATCTGAGCGGAACAGCATTTGGCTATTCACTTTGGCTCAGTACGGCTGATTTCAGCCGTACACCAGCTAAAATCAGCTGTACATCGGCTGCTTCTGTCAGCCGAACATGCTCTGCCGAACATCTGGATCGGCTGAGCTGATCCTCCGGCAGCTCACATGCTGCCGTTAGCCCCCTATTCTCATAGAGGCCAAATGACAGTGAGTCATGTAAAAAAAATTATTTCAAAAAATTGTAAAGAAAAAAAAAACCAGCATGGGGTCCCCCTCCCAAACCATACCAGACCCTTTAGATCTGGAAGGAATGTTAGCAGGGACCCCAAGTTAAAAATAAACAAAAAGGTCCCCCCCCCCCAAAGTCATACCAGGCCCTTTAGGTCTGGTAGGAATTTTAAGGAGGAGCCTCACCCCCCAAAATGGGCGGGGAAATATCGGGTCCCCCCTACAATTCCCAACTGTTTACATTTGGCCGGCACCTGCCAGAGTCTTCCCGCAGGTCCCGGACAAATGAAAACAACTCGGCTGGGCCCAGATACTGCTGTGCTATCAGCTAACATGCTGATAGCACAAGTACTGCCTCGCTGGCTCCAACATCTATGTCTCTTTTGAGATAAAAGCCTTTCTGCTCACAAATGTTTTTGAGAACAGTTACAGTGTAAGTGGATGTTCTAATTTTGGCACATTTGCAAAGTTTTAGGCATAGCATTAACAGTTCACTGATGGACTTTACTTGCTGCCTTGAGTTGCTGTTTAATTATGCTTACAGGTCCTCTTAAAACAGGATAATCTGTTTTACAACCTGTTGTCTGCCCAGGAATGAAGACAATGTAGCATTGGCCACAGGCTGCTTCCACAAGAGTAGTAGCTGATAGTAAAAGCTTGCATATGCTAATTGCAGAGAACACGCAAGATCAAAGTCAGTACAAGGAGAGCTTTGTTGATTGCCTGGGGCAGGTGGCACACATTAAAAGAAGGCAAAGCAGACAGAGCACAAAACTGTGAACATCACCATATCTGTGCCTTTCTAGCACGTATGCTCCAAATTATGAGCCATTAGTTATCCTGTCACCTGAGACTTACTGTTGCAGCAGTTCATGTACATGAACCAAGGCCATCTTAACAAAATCGCCTGCCTAAATGCAGTGTTCATTTACTGCATGTTATCGGTCTCTGATATCGGTTAAACAGATAATACCAGCTTTGGTTTATCTAAAAACATAATACTAGCTTCAGCTGTCAGTGAAGGTATCATTTGTAAAACAAATTCCATTATCTGACACTTTTAAACGTAAGATAGAAAAGCAAGAGGTTGGCCATAGACGGCTCGATAAAAGCAAGCAGTGCTCCTGACTTGCAAGCACCGCTTGCAATTTCCAAATCATTCGTGTAACGCTAAAATGCAAAAATGAGCACCTTAGGCAGTTGGAAAGGAGATTCTGCAACAGTATTCTAAGTAGGTTCCAATGATTAGTTTTATGGAAAAGAATAAATCTGAAATACTACATGGGCTCCACTGTCAACATAGCATTGGCACTTTCTAAAATTGAGGAGGACAGGCAGATATCTTCCTGCCCATCATACTCTGGGAGAGATCTGTCCATCTTGGCCAGTCTGTGGAGCATTGGGTGCACAAAGGGTTCTCTTGGAGCCCAAAGATATAGTAGGGCCCAAGTGATTTCCAGGTAAAAAGGAAGTGTATTGGTGCCTGATCTGTCTCATGGCTTTGCTGAGTAGGCTTTCCCAGTAAGTCGGAAGCCAATATAGGAGATTTGAAAACAGAAAGTGCTTGGTATATTGTGCATATGTGGATGAGTAGTTAGTAGGTAGTCCTCTTCAATATGGCAGCTAGAACTTACATTTGTGGCCAGCCTTGTCCTCTGTCAGAACCACGTACCTTAGAGGAGTTGACGAGGAAGGCCTCACTTGCAGCTCAAGTCCAAGAGCCCCTGGAAGTGGAACAGGTGCACAAGGACAAGAGAGGCACGAGTGGCGGTAGAAGCAAAGTCCATGCCAAATCTGTAACAGTCGAGCAGAGAGGTACCAGGACAGTAGACAAGGCGTAGTCGGGGACAGGCTGGATCAGTAACTTGCAGGCAACGAAGTACAGAGCAACAGGCAGGAGCGTGGTCAAAAACGAGCCGAAGTCGAGGGAATCCAGAAGAGCAGCAGAATAGCCAGCCAAGCCGGGTCAACACCAGAAGATCAGGGTCAGGATTCTGGGTTCAGGATACAGGTACAGGAAACAGCTGAAGACCAGTCAGCACTGGAGGCTAGAATGTCACATCCTTAAATAGCCCGAAAACCTGCAACACGCGAATGCGCACGTCTGTAGTGCACAATTTTCTGAGCCGAACTATGCCCAGGTGCCCATGCAGGATTCCGAGCACAAGGGCCAAGCTTGGCATCCTGACATCCCCACTGTGAACGTTTTGATCTTCCTTCTTACATCCTATTCAGAGCAGACCATAGTATATGTCTGAGAACCTACATTACGTTATATCTCAGGTTTCTCAAAAACAAACAGAGAACCTTGATATCATGAACCTTTTAAGTCAATCAAGTGTGTCAACTAATAAATATGTGCTTGGTTTAGCTTTTCTGGTGTTGGGGGCTAAGGCAAATGACTTACCTACATGTAGCCCTGTTTAGAACTAGGGTCATGCCACAGTGCAGTTTTCTGACTTTACATTCTCTGCAAGCTTGTTGTATAGCATTAGAAATATACTGTATGTGTCTTGTGACAGTACTTAGAGAACAGGTGATCTTTTCAAATAAAAAAAACTAAACAATGCTTTCTACTCTCTATTCACCCTCCTAATTAGAAAGGCTAAACATAGGAACAGACCTATACAGATCACAGTGCCATGGGTTGCACAAGGCTAGGCACTGTTTACAGCCCGTCATGATCAACTGTATGTGTGCGGAGAAAAAAAAAAGAACATTTTAGACCTCTTCGGTCTACTGCTGCTCCTTCATTGTCCAGTCACAAGCAGGGACTGATCCTGGAACAGGCTGTATTGCCTTACTCTTGTATAGATCACAAAGAGATCCAGAATCCTGCTGTTTTGTTTAGCAGGGTGCTAGGGCCACAAGAATGCCCGAGGCTGTGGCAGAAACAGTCTACGCATATGTAATTCAGCTGTGTATGTAGCTTTTTACTGGAATTCAGCTTATTATAATTGTGCAAAAATATATTTGCAGACCTTTTTAGCTTTACATATTTGATCTGAGTCAGACTTCAGCTTGAATATCAGACTTCACCTAAAGTATGAACATTGCTGTCTTGTCACTTGTATCACGTACCAGGCTGGAGATTGGTTGGATGAGGAGGCTCCCCTTGCATCTTGTGTCCCCCAAACTCTTGAGGATGAGAACAGAGCCTGAGAAACAGCAAGTAGCACGGGTGCCAGTGGATGGGGCAACACCGTGCCAGGCAGAAGTACAGAATCAGGATCGGGTAGAGCAGAGCCGAGGTCACACCAGGCGGGCAGCAGGGTACCAGAACAAGAGGCAGAATCGAGGTCAGGCAAGCCAGTGGTCAGACTAGTTGGGCAGCGAAGTACAAGGGATGAGGCAGGGGCAAGGTCCAGTAACAATTCCAAGGTCAGAAAGCAGGCAGCAATCAGGAGCAGTCTGGTTCAATCCAGGTCAAGGGGCAGGAGCAGTAAACAGACAGAGTAACCAGGATCACAGCGGAACAGTTGAAAGACCATCCAGCAATTAAGCCCAGACTGTGCTTGCTTTAAATAGGGAGATCAATCAAGGGGTACTGCATCACTTCCTAAGATGCGCATAAGTGCCCGTTTTCCAATGGTACTTAAAATGGGACCACGCACATGCACAGAAGGCCTGGATACCTCACACTTGCCTGATCTCACATTCAGTCTTCCAGTTGAATGAATAACACCTACTTATAGTTGTTTACATTCCTCTTATGCACACTCAGGAGCTCCAAGACAACACTTTATCTGCTTGGAGTAAGGAAACGTACAGAATTTTTCCATTGTTATGGGGCACCCAGTTCAGACTCTCAGCTCTAAGTGTCAGCCTCAGAAAGCGCAAAACTAAATCTTTTATAAGCATGCACAACTATAATGATATAAGACTGAATCTTCAAATTCTTACATAACTGATTCTCTTTAAAGGCCATAAATGATGCTTGCGCTGGTAGTGATTGACATCCTTTCTACAGAGTCAAGTCCAGTTCCTTTTCAGTACATAAATGGTTAAACTTTATATGCCATTTTTTTTCCCTCCTGCACTCGTAATCTCTTGTAATCAGCACGTTGTGATCCAGAACTAAAAAGCCCGGACAGGAAGAAATAAATGAGGAAAGGGATTAGTTGCGCTAGACTGCCGAAACTTGTATGCTGTAATCAATAATGCAGCTCCTCCCTTTGAACTTACACGGTAGAATTAAGGTTTTTGCAATGCAAAACGCTGCACTTCAATTATTTGTG